TCTCTTAATTAGCCAAGGCTCTAGACTTATCAATTATCAAACATAAGTTGAATGCAGAGTACTTGTTGAAATGTTTGTTGCTGGGCTTATCTCATGAATAAGCCAATACTACCTTTGTCCTTATCTTTGTCTCCTGACAGCCTTCCTTTTTTGCTGAGGATAAAATCATTTTTTCCCTCGCAAAGACCAGTTCTGGTCTCTCTCTCTCTCTCTCTCTCTCTCTCTCTCTCTCTCTCTCTCTGATATCAGCTCAGAGACCTCAGGATGCTGATGGCCTCTCATCCATGCTGATTGCCAGCTTTGTCATTATTCTACTCTAGTGAGTGTGTATGCAGGGCTCTCCAAACTGTCTGTTGGTTGACTGCTGGAGCAAACTGAGAATAGCAGATTCTCAGCCCAGCCTTACAGGAGTGGATAGGTCAGTCAGTAGGAGGAGACATTTGCACAAGGAAAGTTCTCATTGTTACTGAAAAAAAATCTCTCCCTTCCCTAACTTCTCTATTTTAGTTGATGTAATTTTTTTTATCATTGTGCCTAAGGGATGAGTAAGAGATTGAAGAGAAAGAGCTGGTTGGGAGCAGAACATAATGACTCTATTGGAGGTTGAGTTTGAGGTTTCAGTGGGGCAGGCTGGGCTCAGTCATCTCTGACCCTCTTAATAACACAGACTCAAACAAGACCTGCACCAACATACCTCAGGTCTTTCCAACCTGCTTCTTTTGTGGTTCAGACACTGATCTGAGTAACTGGCAGCCTCTCCAGCTGTGACCTCCTTCTCAATCTAGTCTTCTTAAACTCCTATTCAGACTTCTTAGTTTTTCAACAGCTAGTTCAATTCCCACTCTACTTCTAGGCAATACTGGGGTTAAAGACAAGTAAAACTCCATGGTTCCTGCACTTGTGGAAATTCCCATGATGATACCACCCCATTTCTCAAACAAAGTCTCAAAGACTTACAGGTGGCTGGGCCCCTAGCCAGGTGTTCAAGACCCTCTGAACTCACCTTCTGGGTTTATCCTGTGCTATAGCTCCACACATTTCCACATAGCAAGAAACCTCTGACTTCTCATTCCTTTGTCTTCTCTCACTTTCCTCCCCCAAGTCTGGATGCCCTCCATGTTCCTGTCTCCTTCTTCCCCTCCACTCAACCTACCTTTCAACATCCTAAGCTGTCTTTCATAACTTCACTCAAAACATGACTCTCTCACAGGCTCTCTGTGCAAGGTGTCTGCTCTTTGAGTTTTCATGGGGATTTTTGTATACTTCTTTTTTTAAAAGATTTTATTTATTTATTTTTAGACAGAGGAGAAGGGAGGGGGAAAGAATGGGAGAAAAACATTAAGGTGTGGTTGCCTCTTGTACACCCCCCACTGGGGACCTGGCCCACAATCTAGACATGTGCCCTGACTGGGAATTGAACCAGCCTACCCTTTGGTTCACAGGCTGGTGCTCAAACAACTGAGCAACACCAGCCAGGACCTTTTGTATACTTCTAATAAGCATCACATTACACCTGGCATGAAGTTCAATGTGTACCAATCTCTGCTATTAATCTATTAGAGAGAAGAGCCCATGTCTTATTCATATTGGTGGCTCCACTTCAACAGTTGCTTCACACGTAGGGTAACTTCTACAAAAGTTGATCATATGGTTTGTTATAATTTATTGTCTAAACCAAGACACTTTTGATAGTGAAAGGGCCATTCTTAGTAATTATCCTAGGCTGCAAGTAAAACTAAAATTGTCCCTGGCTATTTGGTCACATGGTATTTATGACAAATGGAGTATCAACAAATAGTTTATGAATTAAGTGGAAATGCCTATACTTACAACTACACTTACACTTACTTTGTTACTGGCTTATAATGTAGTAGCCCGTGAGCAGTGTAAAAGGTTGGCAGAAGGTGCCATTATCAGAGCTAATATTTCTGAGGATGGTTCCACTGAACAGGTGGTCCCTGAGGTATGACCAGTGGGAAGAAACAGGATTCAGGAAGACCCAATTAAACAGAGAGAAAAAGGAATGACATCATGGAAGGATAGGCTGTTAGGAGCAAAGATGGAACCACATTTGATATATTCAGAGAAGAGTTTATGGCTGAAGTTGATGGTTTATATTGAGGAGAAATAGGCACCAGGGTTGGAAAGTGGGGTAGGAAGAAACTGCAGTGCTAACACCAGTGTGTATGTGTAGGGGGAAGGTGTAGTCTTTATAAAGCAGGTAAAAGTAGCAAGTACCTGAGTGTTTCTCTCCCTCTCTTTATAAATGAGGAAAGAGCAGGAAAGAGACAAAGAAAATGTAGCATTTTGGGAAACTCTTCTCATGGTCATATTTAGAGAAAGGTGAGGCTGAGGAGAGGAAGTCCACATGGATCCATGGAAATAATCTCAATGTACAATGACAGGAATTTAAAGGAAATACTGGTCACTAAAATGAGTAAACTTCCTGGAGACCTGAAAAAGTAGGATTAACAGCACTATGTGACCCAAGGGAGTTAGGGATAGTTTTAAGGTAACAATACACACATAGTCTATCTGTTGGAATGATAGATTAAAATAATAATGCAGAGATGATTTGAATGAAGATTATAAATTTATTGTAGATTTTTACACACTAAGTATGAGGCACCAGCAGGTCGACTAAATGGAAATATCCAGAAATAGCCAGAAAGGAATGGCCAGAATATTGGAGAAATGAGAATGAAACCGGAACACCTGATGTTTGTGCTGCCTGTCACCTACTAGACCAAATAAGCAGAGACAGGGATTGAATCTTTATGGGCACTTTATTCAGAAAGCCAACAATCTGAGAAGATGGTAGGTATCGACCCTAACAGACTGTCTTACATTTCCTTTCAAGCCAGCCTTTTTTTTATAAGGGGGCAAAAGTGTAGGTAAGGGGGCTGCAATTCAAGGGAAAAAAGTGTAGGTAAGGAATTTGGAATTCAAGAAAGAGGTTAATGAGATAAAAGCTGAAGTCCATCAATTTCCCTAACATATTTTCATCCACTGACCAATCATTTTCTTTATCTGTGTCCTGGGCAATTTTTTTTTATCAGTACCCTGGGCAGCAGATTGTTTCTCCTTGGAACACAATGGCTCAGGTACAACCTTGATTGCTTATGGTCTCTTCTGGAGCACAAAGGTCAATCACTTGTGGTCTCTGGGAGTCAGGGTGGGCCTTCCTGCAGTTCCTGGAACAATAGCTTTTTTAAAAATTTATTTATTTATTTATCTTTAGAGGGGAAGGGAAGAAGAGAGGGAGAGAAACATCAATGTACGGTTGCCTTTTGTGCGTCCCCTGCTGGGAACTGGCCTGCAGGGAACCGGCCTGCAACCCAGGCATGTGCCTTGACTGGGAATCGAACTGCAATCGTCTGGTTCACGGGCAACAATAGCTTTTTACATGCACTAACTACTAGGCTTATTAACTATTACCTTAAACTAAAAATTTCCAACTCTTGAGTCCCCCATCAAGACCTGAGGAAATGATTTAGGAGGAGCCACCCATGGGATTGTAACAGGTGTGGAACAAGGTTTAGAACTTGGGGTACCTGGGGGAAAAAACCCACAGCCATTGCTTGGGGCTGGGGAAGTGGACAGACCAGTTAAGAGGTATTTTGTATATCAATAACAGCAGGCTAGTTTCCTAGGTAGTTCAGTAGCTGTGGCAGGCACTCAGAATGAGGGAGCTGGGCATGACTTTAAGCTGTTATGTAGCCAGGAGGTGGCTCCTTGGTTCCTGAGCCTGCCTGAGAGCAGGAAGGAGGTTTCCCTAGGTCACAGGGCCAATCCTAACCAGACTAACAATGACAGCTGAAAAAGGCAGAATAAACCAGAGGATGGGCAGATGTAGCTGACTGTGGGAGAAGTTGGAGATGGGGTTGAGGAGGTACAGGGATTTAAACTCAAGTGTGAGGCAGCCAAGGTCTCTGGACCATGTTGCTTGGAAGGGAGTAGGAGAGACATGAGGGGTGCTTTCTCTGTCATTTTCACTCTCTCTCTCTGGCACATGGTTTAGAAAGGAGAAGAAAAGCAGGATGTAGCAGCTATGTGGAGTTCTCCTGACCATGTGGTTTATGAAGGAGAGGAGCTTTTGGCCACGTGAGGACCGAGACATGCTGTCTATAGTAAGGGATTAGGCCATGAACTGCTGCTGTGATCATGTGCACTCTAACTGACTCCAGAGCTGCAAAGGACTTCTTTGCAAGATGCTACCTTTCAGACTTGGACTTTACCTAGACTATTAAGAGTTGTGCCTTTCTTGAGTTTCACCATGACCCAGTGTAACACCAACTCCAGGATCAGGAATAGTAATGCTTTCCTGGACTATTACAAGAAGGTTGCTGGCAACATATTCCAGATCCTGCACAGATAAGGACATGGAAAACTTTTGGGGATGTTTTTGGCTCACAGCCTGCTGGGGAGCATGGGAAGTGCTGGGTATATTGGGAAAAGAGGGCTTTGAGCTGAGGTGCTCTGAGCTCCCCCAAGGCTGGAATGTTGTAAATAAAGATCTGCTCCTTCCAGCATGAATTGTTGGGTCATTTACCAAGGTGCTACGTGGATAGGCTCTGGTCTGCTCAGTTACAGTTTTGGCAAGTTCTGTAACAGAATGAACAATAGGTGAAAAGTATAAAAGGATGAGGCGTCTTTCGGCCAGACAGTAGGAAGATTACCAACTGTTGGATGTCAGAAAAATGTCTGCACTTAGTGGGGAGGGGAGATACAGGAGAATGAGAAGGGGCCATTATCCAGTGATCTGGCAATTGAGATAATGGTTAAGATAAAAAAAAATCTAAGGAAATGAACTGAAAATGCATTTCTCTGGTGAATGATATTGTCAGAGATTGATTTTCTGCCCATGTCAAAGATGTATTGATGCAATGCATGTGTTTCCATCCTGAAAAAGGATTAATGGCTGAACAGCCAAAAAGCCAGTTAATTGAATCATTCAGGCTGTGACTCATGACCAAACTACTCCAATGATACATACTAACCTGTAATGCTTTTTTTCATTCAGAAGGCAGCAATATTGGGCATAAAAGAAAGAACTTTTCTTGATTCCATCATAATGATACCTGAAAGATAAAGGTTATCTTAAAGATGATGTCACACTACACATGTTTTGCAGAAGATACAACACAGACTAGCTTATGAAGACTTGGGGGTCTTCTCTGGGTTTTATCACTGACTCTGGTTATTAGGAAAAGGTAATCAGTCATAATGAAACTGGAAAAGACCAGCGTTCATGCTGCCTATCACATAATGAAACCAATAAGCAGAGACAGGGATTGAAAATTATGAGTGCTTTATTCAGATGGCCAGTGATCTGAGAAGATGGCAGTCGAGTTCAAAGCCTAACAGACCATCTTAAATTCCATTTTAAGATGGCCATTTTTATAAGGAGAACAAAGTGTAGGTAAGGGTTTAGAATTCGGAAAAAAGTTAATTGGATTAAAAAACTGCAGCATTCTCATACTGGGTGGTGGTCTTTAGCTATGTCCTAGGTGGTGGTCATCTCACCCTGGATGGAGTACAATGGCTCAGATACCATCTTGAATTGTTTGCAGTCTTCCCAAGGCACAAAGATGTAACTGCTTATTGTCTCCCAGAGTCAGGGTGGGTCATACCTTCAGTTCCTCAAATGACAGCTTTTATATGCATTGATTTCTAAGCTTATTAGCTATTACTTAAAATGAAAATTTCAGACTCTTGAGTCCTCTATCATTTCAGCATAATCAGGCTTTGATAGGCAGGTGATTTTGAACTATTTCAAATGCAGCAGCTTTGAAACAGGCTTGCAAATGTTCTACTCTGCTTTCCCAATTTATGATGATCTAATCTTAGAGGTGCAATAGGGAAAGCCTCCGGTTGCCACTGTCATTAACTTCTTCAGAATGAAGTGAGGCTACACCAACGTTCCCAGAAACCCAATGAATAAGCTGGCTTCCTTTCTGTAGTTCACACCCTGTTCTGTTCAGGCCTGGAAACTGCAGCAGCTTGTCCAGGCAGCACAAAATTCTTTCAAATGGACTACGGCTCAATGTTGAATTTGGTAAACTCTTCCACTGTCTTCAATTCCTTCATGGGTGGCAGGCCCCTTTCTTAATTTGGCTCCTATTTCTTATTACTGATTTCCTGATCTCTCCTAATTTTTCTTGATTTAAAACAAACAAACAACAAACAGTAATAACTGAGTGACAATTATAACACCGTACACTAAATAACACTGAAATTTCCTTTTGTGTTAAAAATATAGCCTGGGTATCCAGTTTGCTGAATATAATTAAAATGTGCTAGTTAGATGTTACTTGGAAATTTTAGCTCAAATAGTACTAAAATAGTTCTAATTATTTAAATATTTCAACAATTAGACATTTATATATCTAAATAGTTAATACGTTGAGACCAAAATATATTGTGACTTTTGTGTTTTAACAAAAGTAAAAAAAACAAAAATTAATATTTGATTCTAGCATTTTCTGACTTACTTTAGGCACTAGGATTTCAGCTTGAATTATGGGAACTTTATGGTAACAGCTGATACTTATAATTTGTCCAGTTTTGCATTTTTGGTCACTTATTCTATGATTTTTTAAAAATAAAACAAAAATGATAAACCTCCTTGGCACTTCTTCTTGTGACTAGATCAGAAAAAATTAAGTACACAAACTAAAAGAATAAGCCAGATTTAAAGCTATAATTCAAAAATTTAGAAATAATACTTGTGATTTCTTCTCTCATATTGTTTAAATTGTAGTTCCTCTTTTATGATGATACAGAAAATATATGTAAATAAAATTTGAAAAAAATCAGACACATATAAAGAAGAAAACATACCACTCAGGAAACCAACATTTAAATCTCAGTGCAGTTCCTTCTAATCTTTTATCAAAGCCTCAATATGCGTATGTATTCTATAGGTATATACATGAAATAACTGACATCACACAATTAGCATGTCTGCAATCTTGCTTTCCACTTTCTTCCCTGAATATTGTGCCATAAACATTTCCCCTCATCATTCAGAATTTTCTGAAAACAGGGATTTTTAACAGCTGCCTAATAGTCCATCATTTTGTTATACTTTCCTGGAAGATATATTTTTATTGATTTGAGAGAGAGAGAGAGAGAGAGAGAGAGAGAAACATCTATGTGAGAGAGAATCATCAGTTGTATGTACCCTGACCCAAAACCTTTTGGTGTATGGGACAATGCTCCAACTGATGGAGCCACCTGGTCAGGGCTCTCTCAATTATCATTTTTTAAAAAATATATTTTATTGATTATGCCATTACAGTTGTCCCATTTCTCCCCCCTTTCATTCCCCTCTACCCTGCACCTCCCCTCCTTCACCATTCCCTCCCTTTAGTTTATGTCCGAGTGTAACAAATTCTTTAGATTCTGTATTTCTCATACTATTTTTGCCCTCCCCTCTGTCTATTTTCTACCGTCTATGCTACTTATTCTCTGTACCTTCTCCTCCCTTTTCCTCCTCCCACTCCCCTGTTGCTAACCTTCCATGTGATCTCCATTTCTATGGTTTCACTCCTGATCTAGCTGTCCACTTAGTATGCTTTTGTTTTAGGTGTGGTTGTTAGTAACTGTGAGTTTGCTGTCCTTTCACTGTTCATATTTTATCTTTTTTCTTAGATAAGTCCCTTTAACATTTCATACAATAAGGGCTTGGTGATGATGAACTCCTTGAATTCATTTTAATGCATGTTGTTAAATAATGCTGATATTACATTTATGATCAATAACATTAAGAAAAATAGAAGTCTTCCATTTTCCTAATTGTGAGGGGTGCATGGCATGCATGGTGTCTGACTGCAAATCTGTTGAAAGTGAAAATCCTGGAGTATGGTGAAATTACAAACATACAGAGCATGGTGTTCCAAACAGTCAAGTAATGATTTCTGATATTTTTCTACAATCCCCTCCCTAATCACTCAGCCTCCACTTCTGCTTTGTTTCCTATTGCATCTCTCTTTCTTTTCTTAGCTTCCAAGCAGCAGGATTTGACAGTGTCATTAAACATTCCTCTTATCTGGCTTCAGGTCCTACCTCTTCCTATGGGAGGTGACCAAACTCTTGAGTGTGGAGTAGGCAAATGAAGGAAGAGGGAAGGCAAGTATGGTGCAATTAAACATTGAGTTCATGAGGTCAAATTGACAAGTTAATTCAGGGAAGGAGAACCAAAATACACAGATGAAAATTAAATGATAGGAGATTTTTTAAAAAGTCAGTGAAGCCTAAATGTAGGATTAGATGCCAAAAATTTCTATTTTCAACAACAGATTCTGACAATTTCATCTTCCCTTCATAAAATCACTTAAAATCTTTGCTATATGTTTAGTTATAAGATAGTAGGTAACTAATGGAATCATTATAAATTATGCATCAGGCTCAGATTCAAGGCCCTGGAAAGTAACCTGGTGTTTTGGAAGAAGCAGCAGGAAAAAATTGTCTGGCAACATGATAATCTGCACATTTTATTTTACTGAGTAATTCTAACCCCAGAATACCCTGTGTTTTCATTTTATGATCAATATACCACAGTAAAAATTTGAAATCCAACTGAGATGACAATTTCCCAAAAATATTATAAGTATGAAATTTACATATTTAATATAAATCAATAAGAAAAACACTAATACACCATTAGAAAGTGGTCTGGTGATAAAATGTATATAAACAAGAAACATATAACCAAACACACATGAAAGTGCTTACTTTCCCTAATCAATAAATCCAAGTCAAGATAGCTAAATATAGTTCTTAACCAATGACTGTTCTAGGTTAAGAATATTATGAATTTGGGGAAGAATATCAAAAACTATTATGAGAGCCATGAATTGGTTACAGTTGTGTAGAGTTTATTCTAGGGAAATTACCAGATACAGATGGAGGTCTATGTTACTTATATTAGAGAAAAATTATGAACAAGATAAATTTCCAATAAAGGGAATAATGAGGTAAATACTGGAACATCCAAAAATATTTTATACAATGCGCATTTGAAAATGATGTGAAGATTTTTATGATATTCTAGGTGAAAATAGGCATATGATCATAATAGTTTAGGTTTCTGGGGTGTTTCTTGTGTACCAAAGTTATTCAATTCCCTTTACATGTGTTTTTTAATTAATTCCTTAAAAGTACCTCATGACATAGGTACTATTAACATTATCAGTATTCTCACTTTACAGATGACAAAGTTGAGGTACAAAAAAAGATAAATAACTTGCCCAAGGTTATAACCTATTTAGTCTGATTCTAGACTTAGTGTTGTAAAAAAGTGTGCCATAGTACACTCTGTCATCCAGTAAGTGTCTGTCTACCTACCTGTCTCTTTGAATACCCATCTGTGTATATCCACCCATATATTATCTTTCAATCCATCCATCTACATGGTATCTATACAACAGCATAACTGAATAACCAGTGGGGTTCTCTATCACTTGCTGCCAATAGGCAAAAACTCTGATGACAGAAACTTTGTGGAAAAAAGGGGAATCTTTTATGTAAAGTACATACAGTTTGAAATAATGGCAGGTGTCTTCCTCAAAGCCCATTTCCTCTAAAACATCTAAAGAAAATCACCCTGCCACCTTCCGCTAGCTCAGTTCAAGGTTGCCCAGGGACCTCTTCTCCTACCCAAAGGCACCATCCTTTAAGAAACATGGGTGGCTTAGCTGGTTTCCAGTTGCTGTCTGGCTTCAGGCATCCTTTGGAGTCTGTGCATCCAGGTGTCCTACTCATGGCACCCACTGCCATCTTCCTCTGGCTGCTGCTTTCTGGTGTTTCTGTGTGCCTGCCAGGGCAGGACCCATGGAGCAGGGCTCCAATCATTGGTGCCTCTGCAGCTTCTGTACAGGGTAGGGACATAGGAAACACTCCTGGACCACGTGGTCTCCTCAAGACCCACTGACTCAGGCACCTAAGCCCCTGACACTGGCAGCGGACTGACCATCCAGGGGAAAAGAGAGTAAGGTACATGGCATTTTCACACACTCTGCTTTTAAAGATATCTTTCATAGTCCCCGATGTGGAAGAAGTATATGGGAGGGCATGCCTTTCCCACCCAATCACCTCCCTAGCTCTAAGTATTAGCTCCATGCACTTCTTTTTTACTGAGTCGTGTGTGTGTTATCCTGGTTGCTGGGGCAACACACATATGCACAGTCCTCTGCACTTCTCAATCCTTCCACCATTTCTTGAGGTAGGGTCTCTTGTTACAAGAGGAAGAGCATGAAGACAACAGACAGCCAAGTGTGTTGTGAGACACACACTGAAGGGGACTTGTACCCTTAGTAATTTCACTAAAATTTGGTTTTAAAACTCCGAAAAGCCCTCAACTCAAATAATGCACAGAGGGAGAGAGAAAAGGAAGTATGAGGGTATTTCCTGTGGCAAAACTACTTTCTTACCTTCAAATGGTGTGTGGGATAAGCCTAACAAAAAGGGATTCACTTGTTGACTGAAGAACTTATTGTGAGGGCCCTAAAGTTTGTGCCAGGCTACACAGGAGTCCTGGCAGATGAGAGATAGGTTGGCCAGGGCCTTGATGGACAGCCAGAGGGGAGTCCTATTGCCCTGGTTTTAGCTGGCACACCAATAGTCTGCTCAGGTCAAGAATGATGGTAGTTTCCATGACCTGAAGTTGGCCACAAATAAGAAAGAGGTGACATGTGGAAGAGCCCAGACTCTGCCTAGCAAGGGTGCCAGAATGGGCTGTCAGGCTTCAGAAAGAATCCATCACTAAGGCAAGGCATGACTAGCACATTTCCAAGGGCTACTGTGAAGAATCCACCAAAGGGACCAGAATACAAGAGTCAGTTTGGCCTCCAAAGCATGAAGCTGTGTAGTAGGAGCTTTCCAGCCGCTTTTACCTCCCCCTCCTGGAGGGATCAAACCAATACCCAGAAAGGTTGGGGGAGGTGGTGAAAGGGAAGGAGAAGCCCCATTGTGTGCCTTCTTCTTTGGCTACTCTGGTCACAGGTGTGCATATGTGCATGAGCATTCAAATGAACCACACAAATGGCTATATCTGTGGATGTAGCAGATATTTATTTTCTTTTTATACACTTTTCTCCAATTCCCACATTTTCGCTATGAGAATATATTACTTTTGTAATCAGAAAAACATCAGTAAATGTTATTTTCAAAAAGGAAGTCAATGTTATGGAAATCCCCTCATCCATGTAAAATTATCACTTGCACTAGGAATGAGTATTACTCATCCTATGCCCAGGATTGCCAAAAGGAGCAAGAAACATTCTAACATCTGCACAGGAACTGCTGTGGAATGTGGAATTGACTCTATTCCCTGGGGTGGGGGGAGGAAATGAGAATTGGGTATCTTGTTGTTTCTCTTGTAAACACATTTTGGGATCATATCCTTTTCCCTTTCCTCTCCCTTCTCTGTTTAGTAACAAATTAGGCAGCACAGGATCCGTTCCCAATCCCAGCTCCACTGGGCTCCACTAAACCATTCTTCAGTTAAATTCCCCAAAAGTTAGTGCCTTTGGGAGTGGATTCTCAGGGAGTATTAAGATGAAAAAATGCTAACAAAATACCCATTGTCATACACACCAAGATCTTGTTTTAACTTTAGGGACTTCCCTAGAAGTGAGACAACTTCTAAGAAAGTCTGAAACAGATTTTGAAAAACAGTTTTTGATTTCTTAGAAAAGAAAGGGATCATACAGACCAAAAACATGTCAAGCTAGAGTAACCCCACTTCCATCTGACCAAGCTGCCAGGCAGGTAGATGAAGAAGGAGGAGGCTACAGGGCCCACAGCAGGCCAATAGAGAGGTAGAGAGAAGCAGAGTCCCCGTGGGTAAAGGATGCACCAGAGGGAGAAAGTGAGGTGCCTGGCAAGTCACCATCTAGTCATGGGATGTCCTAGATGGGAACCACTGGCCACATGTGACTAATGAGCACTTAAAATGTGCCTAGTCCAAACTGAAAGGGGCTTATATGTAAAATACACTGGATTTTTGAGATTTAGTTGGATAAAAGAATGACAAAGATAACTCAATGATATTTAATATTGATTCCATGGTGAAAAGGTAATATTTTAGATAATTTGGATTATGTTAAAATTATAAAAATTATTTTCATCTTTAAAAGTCTTAAAAAATGAGGATACTAAAATATTTTAAATTATGTCTATGGTCCCGTTAAATTTCTGTTGGACAGCACTAGACTACATTCTATGAGGCCCAGTCCAACTTGCAATTGTATTGGATGAGATATTCCTTTTCCTTAAAGTCCTCTCTCCTTTTGTTCTATATTCTCCCTTAGCATTTAACCCACCTAATGTATTATATATTTTATCTTAGTTATCTGTCTCCTCCCACTATAATGTAAGTTCAGTAAGGCCAGGAATGTCCTTTTCATTGTTGTATTTTCGGCATCTAAAACAGTCCCTGGAACATAGAGGCTGCTCAATAAATATTTGTTAAACGTGGATGGTCTCAGAAGACTATCCTCTGTTAACCCATTCTGTATATTGTATAACCTAAACAAAGTTCCTGATAGGGCTCTTAACTTCCAGAGGAAATCTTTAATGAGTTTTCTAAGTATGACAAAATTGTTGGAAATATCAGTTTTCTCACACTACAAAGTAGATCCTAGGACTTGTGTGAAACTGAATTTGGGCCTTTCATGCATGGAATAATGGCCAGGAAAAACTGGTTGAGTATCTGGAGCTGCCATGGTTTCACTCTCCGAAGTGTCACTCTATTCCTCACCTTTCCTGTTCCCTCATTATGAAGTGTGGACAAAGAAAGGATAGCTTTTCCATAGAGATGGAGTACAACAGCATGTTAGCCATCTGAGCAAACCCAAATTATACCCAACTGAGAATCATTAAACTTAAATTCTAACATTGGCTCATCAATTAACATGGGTTCTTTTTTAAAAAACTCAGGATTCTATATTTTTATCTTCACAACCTACCTTCACAAATGTGGCTAGGTTGACTTGGTTCTGTACATCTTGCCCACAGGTATCCACGTAGATCTCATACATGAAGCAACAAGGCACACTGTACCCTTCACAAATGCAGAAATTGTCCACCAGCCCTGGGGAGAGGAAGGTAAGGAAGAGGAAATTGGCATCAGTTTTTCTACAACAGGACATTCTGATAAGGATCAGCGGTCATCATGAGTGTGGGATCCAACTAAATTAAACGAGCTTAACTTACTGAATACAAAAGTTCACCAATCAGCATCAGTAATATATTGTACCTTTTTGTTCTCAGCTCAGAGTTAAGTACAGGGTGGAGCAAAAATAGGTTTAGAGTTGTGAGTATGTAAAACAATTTATTCTTGTGTTATTATTTATTAATTATTGTACCATTGTAACCAAACAACCAGTGGGTTCTTACCACTCACCACCCACAGGCAAAAACTCTAGAGAAAAGAATCTGGTAAGAAGGAAAAAGGAATTTTGGGGGGGTGGGCAGATTTTTAAATTTAAAATATGCACAGCATATTTCTTGATGTCCCCCCTACCTTGCTGGCAGAGGTGTGTGCAGGCAGTTGGTGGGTAGCCTTCAAGGTGGCTTCCCACGGCTTCATGTGCAGGGGAGGAGTATGGGGCTTGCCACCAGGCTGCCTTGCCTCCTTGGACCTGCTGGCTCAAGTTGCCTGCCCCTGTTCTTACCAGCCTAGTGCCTGTAGCACTCCTGGTCAGGCCTGGGTATGCTCAGGGAGGGGGGCAGGGCATTCTGTTCCCCAGGTTCACTGGGACCCTACCACCCACCAACAAGCCTGTATGGCATGGGCTGTAGACAGGTGACAGCCACCATGGCTTTCCATCTGGGGATGGGGCGTGGGAATTGCTGGGCCTGCACTGTAAGTATGGGCTGTGGGCAGGCAGCAGCCACCACAGCTTCTTGTCTGGTGAAGGGATGCAGAGATTGCCAGCCAGCCATGCTCTTTGAACCTTCCAGCCTGAGCCTCCCCCCTGCCCTCTTACCAGAACCAGCTATGCTCCATGGGGAATCCTCCTGGCAAGGCCTGCCAGTTCAGGAACCTCAGACAAAGCCCACTGGCTCAGGAACTTCAGTTCCCAGCTGCAGACTCACAAGCCAGGAGGTGGGGGAGCAAAAAGCACACATTTTCCATGTGCTCTGCTTTTTAAAACAGCTCCCATAATTCCTCACAGCAGAAGTAGATATTAGGGTATGTCTGTCTCATCCAATTACCTCCCCACCTTTTGGTGCCAGCCTGACCTGCCTCTTTTTGCTGCATCATGCTCACACAGCCCTGGTTGTCAGGGCAATGCACACATATGCTGTTTTCAGTGCTTCTCCACCCTCCCTATTTACAGGGTGGCACACCCATTACATTATTTTCCATATGAACAATGGTGAACCTACTTTTTCCCCATCCTGTATATTGATTTTGGGCCATAAGATTAACAACGTGGTGAGTGTTTTTTGTTGTTTTATATTTTTGAAATACAGGTATACTGAAAAAAAGTCCAAATTATTGGGCTCAGCAGGCACTGTTTCACATACTTTTATAAAGGTTGCAGCCAAGATCTCTATAACTACGAAGTGGAGAATTATTTCCTTCCTAAAACACAAAGTAATGCCCCCTTACAGTCTATCACCCCTGCAGGTGACTGCAGGAGCCAGTATGACTTGCCAGTCCCTGTGGCCTGTGACCCAGGGCACAGTGCATAGCTCTTACCTCTGTTGTCTTTTCTTCTGAAGCAGTTGTTTGCATGATTTTCAACCCAAGTTATTTAATGCAGGCCATGCTACAAATCAATCTTGTCATACCTCATCCTCCCTTATGGGTCTCCTAAAATGCTTTCCTTGTGACATCACAAGAACTCCACTTCCACCAGCAATAGCACAAGTACTAGCGATCTGTTAAACATTCTCCTAAGGCTGGATGCCTAAGAGCCATCCTCCAAAGAAAATTAAACCTGGGCCCTGGCTGGTGTAGCTCAGTGGATTGGGTGTGGGCCTGTGAACCAGACAATCAAGGTTCGATTCCCAGTCAGGGCACATACCGGGGTTGCAGGCCGGTTCCCTGCAGGCCAGTTCCCAGCAGGGGACGCACTAGAGGCAATCATACATTGATGTTTCTCTCCCTTTCTCCTTCCCTTCCCCTCTAAAGATAAATAAATAAAATCTAAAAAAAAAATTAAACCCATCCTCAACTCTACCATCCCACTCCCTCCCCTTGAAAGGTGTGGACAAAAAAGGGGCCATATACTAAACCTGACAAGCTCAGGCAATGCGTTACATGGCAGCCTTACAAACTCAAGAGACCTGAAGTAACCACATAGGATGGTCTGAAATTAAAACTTTCTAATTGAAAGCAGTTCATGGCAGGTACTCATGTCCTAGAGCAGTATTTTCCTAAACAAAGGTCAATCTTCACCTTAACTGACTGAGACTTTTTGTTTTTTTGACCAATGATAATATTCCTGATAACATACCTCTGGAATATCAAGGTAATTTTTTACAGACCCCTCAAATCACATGGTTTCTTCTGGACCCCAGAAATGAAACTTGAGCACCAACTTACACCATGCACCAAAATAAATTCAAGATGGATAAAAGACTTAAATATAAGCTGTGACACCATTAAAGTCTTAGAGGAGAATATTGGCAGGAAAATCTCAGATATTTCACACAGCAACATTTTTAATGATATGTCCCCTAGAGCAAGGGACATAAAGGAAAGAATAAACAAATGGGATCTCATCAAAATAAAAAGCTTCTTCATGGCTAAAGAAAACAATATTAAAATAAAAAGAGAACCAATTGTGTGGGAAAATATATTTGCCAATGATACCTCAGGCAAAGGTTTAATCTCCAAAATATACAAAGAACTTACACGACTCCACTCTAAGAAGACAACCAACCCAACTAAAAAATGGACAAAGGACTTGAAGAGACACTTCTCCAAGGAGGACATACAGAGGATCCAGAGACACATGGAAAGATGCTCAATACCACTAGCTATCAGAGATATGTAAATTAAAACCACAATGAGATAGCCCTTTACACCAGTCAGAATGGCCATCATAAACAAAGCAACAAACAAGTGCTGGAGAGGTTGTGGGGAAACGGGACCCTAGTTCAGTGTTGGTGGCATTGCAGACTGGTACAATCACTATGGAAAAGAGTATGGCATTTTCTCAGAAAACTAAAAATAGATCTGCTTTTTGACCCAGTAATTCCACTGCTAGGATTATATCCTAAGAACCCTGAAACACCAATCCAAAAGAACCTATGCACCCCAATGTTCATAGCAGCACAATTTACAATAGCCAAGAGCTGGAAGAAACCTAGGTGCCCATCAGTAAATGAATGGATCCAAAAACTATGGTACATTTATACAATGGAATTCTATGCAGCAGAAAGAAAGGAGGGGCTCCTACCCTTTGCCACAGCATGGATGGAACTGGAAAGTATTATGCTGAGGGAAATAAGCCAGGCAGTGAAAGACAAATACCATATGATCTCACCTTTAACAGGAAGCTAAACAAAACAAACAAGCAAGCAAAGACACCAAAATAGAGAATAGGCAAACAGGGACCAGAGGGGAGAGGGGAGGGAATTTCAGGGGAAAAGGGGAAGGATTCATAGGAACAAGTATAAATGACACATGAACAAAAACTAACAGGAGTAGAAATGGGAGGGAGGTGGGAAGTGCTGGGGGGGGGGTGGGCTGGGCTGGGAGTAAAAGACAGAAAACTGTACTTGAACAATAATAAAAAGTACTATAAAAATGGAGAAATAACTTGACTATCTTCTCCAAAAGTACATACACAACTGGCCAATAAACACATAAAAAATGTTCAACATCCTTAGTAATTAGGGGAATGCACATTAAAACCACAATGACATACCATTCCATATACTCTGGGATTGCTATCATTTTTAAAAAGAAAGAAAAAAGAAAATAAGTGTTGGCAAGGATGTGCAGAATTGGAACATGGCTCATTGCTGGCAGATGTGTAAAAAGGTTGCAGGTTCTGTGAAAACAAGTGGTTTCTCAATAAATTAAAAATAGAATTACTGTATGATGCATTAATTCTACTCTGGGTATGTATATCAAAGAATTGAAAGCAGGGACTTGAACAGATATTTTTAATTTGTACCCCCATGTACACAGCAGCATTATTCACAACAGTCAAAAGGTGGAAGCAGCACAGTGACCATCAACTGACAAACGGTGGACAAAAAGTAGTATCTTATTCAGCTTAAAAAAGGGAGGAAACTCTGATACATGCTACAGCATGGACAAACCTTGAGAACATTATGCCAGGTGAAAGAAGCCAGATAAAAAAGGATGATTCCTCTTATATGAGGTACCTAGGATAGTCGAACTCATAGAGACAGAAAGAATGATGGTTACCAGGACTTGGGAAAGGAGATAATAAGGAGTTGTTTCACTGGTACAACAGTTTTAGTTTGAGATAATGAAAAAGCTCTGGGGATTTATGGTAGTGATAGTTGCATCACAATGTACATGTACTGACTCGGACCTCCGTCCACAGTGTCCATGTCACTGCCGTCCCCTCATCCTGTTATGGATGAGACATGAGAAAAATTCACACAGACTGCTGAGTCCTGTGGAGGAAAAGGGATGGCACGGCTACTCCCTAGAGGGCGGAGCACCTCAGAGTGGCCTGGCAACTCTCTCAAGGGGAAAGCACACCGACCCTTGCCCAGATAGAATTTTATTGGGTTCAGTTAGCACAGGAATACAGGTAAAGTTCATTAATTATTGTCAGGCAGTAGATAGCATACAAAGAACTCCGAGGGCCTATTCTTAGTCAGGGTCTGTTAGCTAAAAGGCTACAAAAACTTTGGGAAACATATTCATTTCCTGCTCAGACTTTTATCGCTTAATTAAGAACATTCTTAGCAAAGCAGGTTTCATAGGAGTTTACATATCCTTTCTCAGGCCTGATTTCCTGGGGAATCCACCCTTTCCAGCACAGGGCTGCACTGCTCTCTGTCATTGTTTCAGGCTTAAGTCAGGCAGAGGAAGCAAGATAGCCAAGAAATTAGGAGACTTCTCGCAGACAGAATGAGGACTCAGGCTTTGTCAAAGCCGAGGGGCAAGTGTCTGTCACCCCCTTTCTCCATAGCCCCCCAAGTTCTTCCTGGGGCCTCCATGTGATCATGTCTGTCTTATGTCATTCCTGCCTTGGGGACTCTTACCCATCATCAGCTAACTGATCAAGCATTGGAGGCCAGTATGGATGAAGTAAAAGGAGCAGAAGTGGCGCTCCTGCCAGGGAGATAAGCTTTGTCTTCTTAGTGGCTTATGGTCCAAAGGTTGTTCACTCAGCCTTAGCCACTGGGGGGGGGGTACAGCTCCTGAAACCAGGCAGGGCAGTTCCCGATAATATACTTAATGCCACTTAATGCCATTGTACACTTAAACATGGTTAGAATGGTAGATTTTATACCTTTCATGTGACAATACTGGGATATAGATGTTGGGACATACCAGCAGAGGTCTCCAGGGCCAGCACTCTCCCTTCAAAGGGGACACCATCATCAGAGCATCAGGCAGGCATAAAGGGCAGTGCAGAGGAGAGATCACAGGATATTCTTGAAAAAGCCTGAGCCTTCAAGTTTGATAGGTCACTGATTCCAACCCTGGGTAACATCTAGCTCTCTTTTGGAGAACTGTGCCAGGGATCAGCCTGGTCCTGAAGTTTGAGGAGGGTTTTATGAAATTGTGGGATAGAGGTGGGTTGGGTGGGTAAGTGGGAAGGACTTATCATTACAAGTGATGGAGACCTCCTGCTGTGGGACAGGTCCTTCTCTATAACCCCTGGATGCTGAGAACATTGTTTCTTCCATCCCTCATGCTGGTCCTGCAGCAGCTCCATGCCACCCAAGAAACTTCCCAAGATGCCCACCATTTTTACAGAGATTAGAAATAACTA